CTCAACTTGTAGATCGTTCAGTCTGAAAAGAATCAAGACAGAAAAGATTTTCATTCTATTCTTGTGCTTCTGTTTTCTCCCTGCAGCTTCACCAGGAGACCAAAGTGAGCCTGGAAATGATGCCAAGACAGAGACGGACAACACTCCTTTAGGAAACGGAGATTAAAGAAGTCAGCCTTTGTTTTTACACATATATATATTGTCACGACCCGGCTCAAAAGGCCATAACATGAGGCAGACAAGACGAGTATAAAGTAATAAATACACATTTATTCAATGAACTAATAAATAAACTAAACTAAACAAACAAATAAAGCAGCAGCCTTGTCAGCCAAACCAGAGTCGGAGAGGAGAGGAGTCAAAGAAGAGGGGCAGCCTTTATAGCTGGGACCAAACCAGGCTGCATAAAGTCTTTAATCTTCATCTTAACGTAACCTCGTAGTAAACCATAACACTGGAACTTAAAACATAGTTTGTTCTATAATAACATTCTTTAACTAAACATTAACCAGAAGTTAGTTTTCATGTGAAATCATTTAATATGTTTACATTAAATGTTCACAAAGGTCATTCCTGAATATAATCTACAGAATTATATGAGAGTTTAATTAATCAATGATGTGAAGAGAGAAAATACACTTTAATAATATTACTGTAGATTCATCTAAAGGCTGTTTTTCCTCAGGAGTCTCGAGACGAGATGTTACTAGATGTAAATATAGATGATGCACTAAAGTGCTGTAACACAGAAACATCCCATAATTCCACATGTTTAGTGGTCCAATAAAAGACCAACAAAGATAAAATAATGAGATAATTACTGAAAACAAACAAACGACTCATGAAATAAAACCTACGAGTTCTAAAGGACCAAAGTTTGTAAAGAGACTCGGACCAAAAACAACAAGTCACCTTCTGTCCTCAGGTGACTTGTTGACTCTGACTGAAGGTCCTCATGTCCACGTGTCCTCCAGAGGTTTAAACTGCTGTGTGAATGTAGTCCGTCCACCAGATCTCATCTTAAACACACAAACACTGGACTTCTCAGAGAAATGAGAATCTTTAGCAGCTAAAGTGAAACATGATGTCACTTATTCTTTTGTTGTTCGATGTTGTTTTTGATATTTTAGCATTATTTGGGACAAACGTGCTGCTTCTTGTTATGTATTTAGTGCTAAAAGGAACAGGTACACGCTGAAGTACACGCTGAAGTACACGCTGAAGTACACAGTGAAGTACATGCTGAAGTACACAGTGAAGTACATGCTGAAGTACACGGTGAAGTACATGCTGAAGTACACGGTGAAGTACACGCTGAAGTACACGCTGAAGTACACAGTGAAGTACACAGTGAAGTACATGCTGAAGTACACAAGTCAAAAGGCTTGAGTCCAAATAAAGTCACGAGTCTTTGGTGTTAAAGTCCAAGTTTAGCTGCAAGTCTGTTTTGATTCTGTCAAGTTGATTCTAAATCAAATTTATGACTCGAGTCTGATTTGAGTCCAGGTCACATGACTGGAGCCCAGGTCACATGACTGGAGCCCAGGTCACATGACTGGAGCCCAGGTCACATGACTGGAGCCCCCCCTCTGCTGTCTGTCTGTGTGACTCAGACTTGTTGTAATCAGCTGCATCGAGTCTTTAACTCTCTTCCTAACAAACACTGACGTCTGTAATATTTTCTGTGCTCAGTTCATCTGTAGTGAGATTATTAACATATTAACATATTGTAGTGTTGGAGATGTTAGAGGAGCATTTTATATAAAGGCAGAGTTTTGTTTCTTTGTCTGTTTGTATTCAGTTTTATAGAAACATGTTCTCCATGTTTCCAGACAAACTAGAATTGTTCGTCTACAGATGTGCTCGTTGGGTTTAAGTCTCTTTATTACTTTTCTGCTGCTTTCACCAATAAAACTAAAATGAAGAAAAAGGCTTTCAAGTGATCTTTTGTGTTCTGCTTCTTTAAACTTTTAAAGAAGATTTTTGACAAACCAGCTGCTCATGAAGATTTAAAAGTTATGAAATATATGATTCATATGTTCACTTAACTATGAAGATAATACATTTAACAACACTGTTATATGAGTAGTCAGCACTTAAGGTGGATAATAATTTATCTTTTTGCTCCTTTGTTGTCTGATTTAAATGAGTTACCAAACATGTTCTTCCTGTTTTTATATCCATCTTCTACGATATATGCAATGATGCATTTCTGTAGATCAAACCAGCCAACAGGAAATACAGGAGGTACAATGCAACATACACATGAATGCAGCAGTAATATCAAGCCAGAAACATCAGCTATAACAATAAAACATTTTACTAATCAATCAATATTTTTACTTTAACTACTGATAATACTTAAATACCTTTACTTTAGTAAGGTTTTTAATGCAGGACTTGCAGTGGAGTATTTTCACAGTGTGGTATTAGTACTTTTACTGCAGTAGAGGATCTGAATACCTCTTCCAGTGGTAGTACTGCGTGATTACTGATTCTGTCCTCAGTCTGACCAGTGCACGAGTCTTCAGGGATTCCTGATCTTCCACAGCTTCGGGGGCGGTACCGGCTCTGGTTTCACCTCCCTGCTGATGGAGCGTCTCTCTGTAGACTTCGGCAAGAAGTCCAAGCTGAAGTTCGCCATCTACCCGGCTCCCCAGGTGTCCACCGCTGTGGTGGAGCCGTACAACGCCATCCTGACCACCCACACCACCCTGGAGCACGCTGACTGCACCTTCATGGTGGACAACGAGGCCATCTACGACATCTGCCGCAGGAACCTGGACATCGAGCGCCCGTCCTACACCAACCTGAACAGGCTGTTGAGTCAGATCGTGTCCTCCGTCACGGCCTCCCTTCGTTTTGATGGAGCCCTGAACGTGGATCTGACGGAGTTCCAGACCAACCTGGTGCCCTACCCTCGAATCCACTTCCCTCTGATCACCTACGCCCCAGTAATCTCAGCAGAGAAGGCCTATCACGAGCAGTTAACCGTGGCAGAGATCACCAACGCCTGCTTTGAGCCAGCCAATCAGATGGTGAAGTGTGACCCTCGCCACGGTAAATACATGGCCTGCTGTCTTCTGTACCGTGGAGACGTGGTGCCCAAAGATGTGAACTCTGCCATCGCCACCATCAAAACCAAGCGTAGCATCCAGTTTGTGGACTGGTGCCCCACCGGCTTCAAGGTGGGCATCAACTACCAGCCACCCACCGTGGTTCCTGGAGGAGACCTGGCCAAGGTGCAGAGGGCCGTGTGCATGCTGAGCAACACCACCGCCATCGCCGAGGCCTGGGCTCGCCTGGACCACAAGTTTGACCTGATGTACGCCAAGAGGGCCTTCGTCCACTGGTACCTAGGAGAGGGGATGGAGGAGGGGGAGTTCTCAGAGGCCAGAGAGGACATGGCCGCCCTGGAGAAGGATTACGAGGAGGTGGGACTTGATTCTGTTGATGGTGACGGTGAAGAAGAGGGTGAGGAGTATTAGACGACATGTTTAACCGCTAGTTCAACAGATTCTCCCATCGCGGGTTTAAATGTCTTGTTGTGTAGACAGAATGAAACTCCTGTAAGGTTAGTTTGTGTTGAGCTTCCTGTGACAGTGAGCAGCAGACAGGATGTGACAGCTGTTTAAAACAGCTGTGAGAGAGTTCACTCTGTAAAGCACCATGAAGATGAGATGTGTTTTACTCCTTTAATGTTCACACTGAAGTTCCTGTGTGAAGCTGTTCATCTGCTTATTGATCTGTTTGTAGAACCCTTTGTTATTATTTATTTAAAACCAGTAGATCTCCTACTGACCACCAATTAGCTCAATTAATATATCGACTATTTCACCGATTGATCAATTAAAGAATTAATTTTCCTCCAAAAAATCTGAGTCCTTTTCATTTGAGTTTATTTAATGTTGACAAACTGTATATATTATATCATTATATATACAGTATAATGCAGCACAAAACAAATACTATTATCTTCAGATCTGACAAAGATATTGTGATATATCATCATATAATAATATTGTTCTCCAGATTGTTACACTTGTCTCTGTTTCACTTTTTCAAACAGTTCTGATCACTAAGGCAGTCAGACTTTATGGTTCATGAAAAGTTTAAAGTCATCTTTTGTCACGTTTGCTTTAAAAACACGAGCATTGTTGACATCCTAAACTACAACCCCCATGATGCACCGGGAACCCAAAGCTCTCTTGCACACGAACCTGCCGAGTGAACCCGATGACTTCCCGGCCCAATCCCAGTGTCCCCCCTAAACCCTCAAACCCTCAAACCCTGAACCCTCAAGGACTCACTGACGTCACCTGGTGAGTGTGAGAGACTGTGAGGGCTTGAGATGGTGTGAATAGGAACGGGACAGCACTTTGCTGCAACATATCACGTTACCATGAAAACTACAATAACTATGATGTATAATGTGTGTATTTATTGTATACTTTGTACTCCCTGATGTGAACGTCTTCAGGCTCTTTCCTCACTAGATGAGCGGTAACTTCATGTAATCTATTTACTCGTTTCTGCCAAAACAGCTTCAATGACGAAATCTAAAATGTGATGAATTAATGAATACATATCTTCTGATTTCATGTTTATTTTTTGTTCCATCTTTAACCCTTAATGTTTCTGAGTAAATTTAATATTCCAGGCTGAACACACGTGAGCCGTGTTTAATGTCACAATGCAATGACTTGTGGGTAATTCCCTAGGCTAAGTTAGCATAATAAGCTGACTTTGCCTAGCATGCTAACATTTGAAACACAGAAGGATAAATTTCTAAAAACATGAAGCATTGAGTGTTTTTCACAGATGAAACGTGTAAAAACTCAACTTGTAGAT